GTGGGAGCCCCCTGACCCCTCCCCCAGGGTGTTCTCCCTCAAAATTGGGGTGGAACCGAGCTAAATCGTGTTGTCACCTGTATGGTGCTCAATGCTACGGCCAATTTCGGGCGTACTTCTAGCCCCTTGCTATGATGAATTTCGTGGGCCTCGATCTGACTACGTCATACAGGTGGCATTAGCAACAACAAAATGTTTTGCTTACGAAAGTGCTTCCTTGTGTATATTGTTAAATAACAGGCTCTTTTTTTTAATATTAAGTTTAAATGCCTGCTAACAAGAAGAATATCCGCTATTAAATATCTTGCTTGAGAAATGAATGTTTTTAAATTTCAAAATTTCAAATAAGTAGTTGAATTATATTAATGAGAAACATTAGAGAGACTTCTGTTTTTTGGCTCTTTACTTTTATTAACGGGTGTGGTCACATTAAAAATGCTGATTTTTCAGATATAAACTATCCGACTAAACTGCGGAATATCAGTACGTAATATGAGTTGAATATTAAACGGAAGCTGACGCACCCATATTTCAGAAACATTCTAATATATTTCATTTATTTTTCGTTATTTTCCAGAATGTTCAAGATTTTTATATTATTGGCAACTGTTTTCAAGTAAGCTTTTAAGACTATAATTGATTTATGGAGAAACAAAAATATTTTTTACTTTATAAATTTTAAATTTTAATACTTTATGCCACATTTTTAATTGAAAATCTTAAAATGCATTCAGTAATCTCTTTGATTTGAAATCAAACCAACATTTCTCGTGCAAAACTTAAAGCAGATTTGTATTAGTGTAAAGAAAGGAACGAATTTCGATTGATTTAGAAGCTGTACAATTGCAACACGTACATACCTATTACAATGAGTAATACATAGAGACTAACTTAAAAATGACATGTACTAATTTAAAAGCACTTAATTATGTCTTGCTAGTGAAAATTGATCTTGGTTTTCATTTCTTTTAATCCGTTTAATATAATTACAAAGAGACTAACAAAGCAATGAACAAATTAATCTCACTATTTAGTTTTAAAATAAATAAAATATTTCGTGGAATCGTATGCTTTTTCCAAGTTAAATTTTTTTTAATCATGATGAATTCACTCTTATTATTATTTAAAGCACGTATTTGAAAGGTCATTTCCAACAATTCAGTCTGAAGCCTTGCAAAACCAAATTTTCGTCATGAGATTAGAGAATAGTGACAAGTCACGAATTGTTGTTGATGACTACAACTTCATTTCCTACTCGAGAACCTCGTCTTAGAAAATAAGAACTAGATCCGCATGAAAGAATTCCGTAGTTAAAAGAATCGTGATTCGAGGAACTAGTCATAATGAATAGCGCGGTAGTTTTCTTCGTTATTCGTGATACGCAATGAAATGGGAAGAAGACGAGGAATATAATTAAGTTAAGTGGAGTACAGACTCTTTGAAGTAAACAAATAGTACTTTTGAAGAGCCATTCTACAAAATAACGCGCCTTAATAGCAAAGAGAGCAAATGAGAAAAACACGTACTTTTTTCATCGTAAAATGCAAGCCAAGATACTTCTATCCGAAAACGAGGCCTGTAAAATTATTTATTCCTTATGTGACCTGTTTTAATCTATTCATTAAAGAATATTATTTTATTAACAAAAAGTGAACCTTTTGTAAAAATTCGGTAAAGGTTTTTCGTGAAGTTTTAATTTTATTGTTATATCAGGAGAAATTACAAAATGACATGGGATGTAAATGAATACTTTTTTAAAATGTTATGGTAAAACAATACCATATAAATGAAGCATTTTACTCCACAACACTTTAAGTTTTTTGAAATTTACCTAAAAGATTATTGCTTCTTGAAAAGTTTTTTTTATTACAAATATGAATTTATGTACAATGATTGTTGATTATACATTATACAATGAACAGTACACACTTATGCACAAATACAGAAAAAAAATATACCTGTGAAGATTACAACAGACAAAAGCAATCTCTTCAGTATAAAGGATTGCAGTTTATATACTCCTAACCCTAAAGTTCGAGGACTTTCCTTGATTACATGATTTCCTAGTTTCAGCACACTGATTGGTCAGATCTGATGGCCGATGCAATGATGTACCATCTAGCCATAAAATTTGAAGAAGTGGATCTTTATTAACAACAGCTGCAATTAAAGGAAAAAATTAGAAAAAATAGGTCTCAAGCAAATAGAAATAGATAATCATTTCATATATAAATATATATACAGGATGTCCCTTAATTAACGCCCAAATTCTTCACTGCCATATTTTTCTTTGGGAGTACATAAAAAATTCCTAAACAACTGTGCACATACAGTGAAGCAAAGGGGAATGAACGCGAAGCACTAGATTGTACAAGCATCTTCCAGCGTCTCGTATTCTAAGTCCTCCTACTTTTACTAATGTTGAAAGACGATTGGGAAAACATGTTAATTTGACATCTCAAACAGAAATGTAGGGAGCACAAAGGCCAGAAACGGAACAAAAAGACGTTGCAAGATTTGCAGCAGCTTCTTCCTCACGAACACGAGATGTGTTGCACGAAATAGGTATCTCTCAGTATGTGGTGTGGCGTATTTTACATGAGGAACGCATTTATCACTACTACGTATAAAAGATGCGGAGTTTTACAATGGAGGTTTGTGAAGAGGAATAACGATCTACGCTTTCCTTCATTAGTATTATTTAGTGATGAGGCATCATTCAGATGAGAAGGTATTTTAAATATGCATAGTCAGCATGTTTGATCTGACAGCAATCGCAACTGCACTTCCAGTCACGAAAACTAGCAGAGATGTTCCGTGAATATCTGAGTAAGTATCCTTAGTGATAACTTAATAAGCCCTTATATATTTTCAAACCATTTGATTGACGTTTCCGCACTCACTGGATTTAAACCACGGGTATTTTTCTTCTGGGGGAGGGCATAGAATCTTTAATGTGTGAGACTCAGTGGAAGGTCTTGTAGCAGGAATCGTTCTTACCGTGGACAAAATTAATATAACACCAGGAATGTTTTAGAGGGGGTGCGTCAGCCATTCATTAGCCGGTGTAAACAGTGCAAAAATATGTGCGTGGCCACCTCTTTGAGTACTTAAATCAACAATCTTAACAATAAATCATATTGTGTAAATTTAGTACCGTTCATTCACTTTCCCAACACTCTGTGATATATTCAGGTTCTAATTCAAATTTTATTCTTTTCTGACTCCTGGAGTGGAATGCTACCTTATGTGTCATGAAAATTATTGTTTGTGTCTCTTATTTTGTAAAAATAATTTAGATTCTCCTTATATATATAAATTAATTGGTCGACAATGTAACTTCGAAAATGATTTAAATTGTTTCTCGGGTATATCTTTTACTATGGATACATTAATTGATAAAAAAATAAAGGAACACAATGAGGTTTAGTCTCATTATTGTATTGACGAAGACAAGGCAAAAGTACATTTAACATGCATAAAAAATACACAACAGATAACGAATAGCTCCAAGTAACGACTGATTGCCTCTCGATACTTTTGATGACACACCCAGTTCTTTTTCTTTTTAGTTCTTCTAACCCCTTACCGGAAGAAAATCATTCTACAACTTTCCATGTTAACTTATTGGTTTAAAATGGGTATGATGACATTACTCCTGGAGAAGTTCAGAGATGTGCCAGTTACAATTACAGTAATTAAAAAGGATTTGTATTATTAAGGTGATGCTCAATATTTAGGACAGACGAAAGGTTGAGTGAACTAAATTTCTTTATATATGTAAGGATAGTTAAATTAGATTAAAAATTAAATTCCCTATCTAGCGCTTAACTCATATTTTTCATTTCATATTCAAGTATCAAACTAATCACCCATTTATTTCTTCCGAACATATGGCCTAGCCTATAAACATGTCTAATTCCAAATTGTTAGATATAATAGCCCTATATGTCAGCATTATCTTTAATGTACACTCATAAAATACGCGATACTTACCGCATCTGTATCATAAGTGCTTACCCATTTAAAACACTCGGTGGCATTCTTTTTTCTCTCTCCTCTCAGCGTCAGAACTTGTAGAGATTTCATCAAATAAATTCCGTCGTATAGATGGGTTGATGCATGTTACATTTGTCGAAACTGACGGGTGTGGAAGCATGGTCAGTGTAGGGGGCAGCTCAATTGTTATTTTCGTGATTTGACCAAGGTTCAAAGTTGCAAGATCCGTCACCAATAACTTTCATGCAGCTTTCTAATGAAACGTGAAATAATCGAAAATGATTTGTCAAATGCAACCATCTGGCAACCTTCTTCGATGAGGTGTATTTAAATTTACGTATATAAACTAAACTCAGTGTCGCAACAGCCAATGAGGGCCAAGGTCTACTGCACCAAATTTAGTTTTTGTGACCTTGGTTGCATGTGCAAATGTTCCCTCAGGTAATCAGTCTGATACGAAACCCCAAGTATTTAGTTCCCAGATATGCTTGGTAAACATTTATCGACACACTGAAGGAATGAAAGGCTGTGCCGACCTTGACCAGCCCGGGATTTTAACCCGGACCTGTGGCGTAGAAGCGTAATACACTACCACTCAGCCGCTAGGTTTGAAATTCACGTATATAAACAAATAATAATTATTTTGCATGAGAAAATAGCACAGATTGTGATTAATTTATATTTAGCTTTTTTAAACACAATTTAAACATGTAATATAAGATATTTTTAAGTCAATTCCTTCTTGTCAACAAAGAATCTTTTTTAATTTTAGTTACTTTTTATTAAATAGTTACAATTAATATAAATATGTATATACATAGGACATAATCACACTATTAAGTGGCAAATTAGAAAGCGATTTTCCTTGCAATTTTCCATATTACGTTATATATAGGGAGTTGAACTATTAATTTTGTTTATTACTATTTATTCCTTAATTAAATTTAATTATTCCAATAAAATAGTATAGTAAAAAGAAACCACATTCTCAGAAATTACGCCATCCCAGGTGGGATTCGAACCCATGTCCTTTGGATTAGAAGTTCAACGTGTTATCCATTGCGCTACTGGGACACAACAAGCAGTTTTCTTTTTTACATACGGTGTTGGACTATTATTTTGTTAGTTACAATTTATTCCATTATTAATTTAATTAATGAATTAATACTTGAAAGAATGTATTAACATCGAGTATCATCCACTACGAATTTTAAAAATGTATTTGAACTTGAATGGATGAACAGAAAGTACTTTATTAACGATTGATTGATTGATTGAATCTTAACGTCGCACTGTTCAGCTACACGAAGGCTTTTGGATTACACGAGGGCTTTTGTAATTTTGAACCATGGTCAAGTGACGTGGATGACACCTGAGCTGGCACTCCCTCTCCTAACTACCACACCACACCAACGGGAGGACGTTTCAGCTCTCGACAGATTTAACCTGCATCGCTGCTCTACACGGCGGGTCTTTAGTGGCACTGGGCTCGAACTCGAACTCGTGACAAGGCAAGCCACGATCCGATACCTATACCACTCGGCTACCGCGGCCACTTATTAACGATTAAAGAGCAAGATATATATATATATATATATATATATATATATATATATATATATATATATATATATATATATATATATATATATATGTGTGTGTGTAATTCATAAATATATATAAATAGCTATATAACTTAAGTAAAAATAGTAGGAAATATTAGCCACAGTAATATAATAGCAAACTCCTGGCCTTAGAAACCATGGTTGCAGATTTTCACAAAGTTTTAGGATTAGCCAATCTTCTTCTGTAATTTGCCTATACTACTGAGCCATAGGGAAAAAGAAGGAACAATATTAGGAAAAGTTTAAATATTACAAATAAAATACACTATACTCGGGGTGGGCATTAAATGGATCGCGATCGACAGGTGGACCACTAAGACCTGAGATGCTCGTATTAACAGAAATATATTTATGGAATACCGGCGCCAGTTAGAATGGATAATCGACTTTTCACAATCCATACGACTATGTGTAGATGACACATTTTCCATGACTGGAAGCTCACTAAAAAACTTAACACATTCTCTGTGACTATGGGGGGGATATGCGATCAACAGAGGATGCCAGCAGTAGAAATGTACTTCCCCCCACACGCCGACTAAAGGGAAAATAAACGTTGGTCCCCTCTTTTTACTATAACACGGGATTAGATTTTTGTGTTTTCGTTCTGGTGCCACGATGGCGTGGCACCAGCAGTGAACGTGTTAAATACATCTGTCGGTAACAGATTCATTAGCTCATTTTTGTTCGTAGCTTTGAAAACGTCCACGCTCCTTAATCTAGCAATCGTTCATATTTGTTCAAACATTCAATTTGAAGATTTTATGTTACTTGTGTGTGTGAGTCTTTTTTTTTGTAAAAATAGTAGTCTGTCATACATCAAAAGACACATATAATGTCGGAAACAAGTATTAAAAAAAGAAAAACCTACAATTTTAATACAGAGTGGGAAGAACAGTTTTTCTTTACGATGTTGAATGCAAAATGTGTGTGCTATACATGTCATGCAAGTGTGGCACTTCCAAAAAAAGGAAACGTTGAAAGACATTTCAAAACTATGCATGGAAGTTATGATACACATTTCCCTTTAAAATTCGAATTGCATTAATAAAAATTAAAAGAATTTAAATCGCAATTAATCGGATAACAGTCATCTTTTGTTAAAATGTTGATCTCTTCGTGTTAGTCATCTTTTAGCAAAACATAAGAAACCTTTCGCAGATGGAGAAATAATAAAAAAGTGTTTCTGGAAGCCAGTGACTTATTATATTTGATTCATTGAAGAATAAAACTGAAGTTATTTCCGGAATTAAAGACGTTCAACATGAAGAATTCTGATCTGGCTGATCAGCTGACCAAAGATATCACAAACTGTATTTGCTTCTGATGGGAGGCGCGGATTCATTTAGGAATATTCAACAGAACTCTCAGTTTGGTGGAAAGTGTTTTCTTTCCCCACCACTGAAATTCCTTAGCAAAGGGTGCTTACATTCCCACGCCTGCAGGGATCATTACACCCATAAATATTGGGGGAGCGTCAGAGAATTTTCCCGCTCGAAAACAAGGCAACGACCTTTGCGCTGGTTCCGGACCAATCAGGGAAAAATTAAGCGGACAAGGTAAAGAGTCCGCTCTAGCATTTGGCAGTGAGGAGGACGCCAAATAAAACGGGATGCACCCCGATTTTGCACACACTCGGACACGGAGAGACAAACTAATCAGATCCAGGCCTTGAACTAGACTCCGCGGGACTTCGAGCGGCAACTATGTCCCCACTCCCTCCAACCCTACACCTCTCTCTCAAAGCTAAGTAGAATCTCAATCTAGTTATGCTGTCTATTGTACAGTTACTTAAATTTACATCTGTTAATTCAATAAAATTCATTGTTACTTTAAGAATCGGCCTTTCAATTTAGAGGACTGTATTATGTCTTTAGAGTGTTTAATTTTAACTTGAGCCATGATGCGATGTAACGTACGAACCTGGGAATTTAAGAAACTAGTGTTTTAATTAAGAAAAGGAAAGTAATTAATTAAGTATCATCAGCGTCGCATCACTTCTCCTTGCAGATTGCCGAATCTGAGGACGTGGTTGATATTTCTCAACCTTGTATCTTTCTAGGAATGGTTTTTCAGGATAAGAGTATAAAAGAGAAGAATCATTGACAATATTACCCTTAAAGAAGAAAACACGAGGCGAAGATGTTTACTGTGCCTTAAAAAATACATAGAAGAGAAAAATATTCCAATTTATAAAGTTGTATCGATGACAACTGATAGGTCACCATCAATTACCGGTACAGTCAATGGATTTTTGGCTATGTGTATGAGAGTCGATGACTTTCCGCATTTCTTTTCTTATTATAGCATTATTCATCAACAGGCCCTGTGTTGCAAAATTCTGAATATGCGTCATGTTATGGCAGTGCTTCTCAAACTTTCAATACTGGCGCCCCCCTTTTCAATCACAAATTTTATCGCGCCCCCCCCTTATACATAATAATTTACTGAATGCAATAATAATGCACTTTTACGATAAAGCAACAATATTTATTATAAACCGTACAAATTCATGACATAAGTATTAAATTTTGTATATGTTACTTTTAAGCAAATAAAAGTTAAGTAATAGGATAATTACTAAGTTATTTTTCCTTTCTCTGATTTTTAAATTGGAACATATTACAAAATGCGGTGGTCGCTTAGAAGACAAAATATAGATATCAGCTAAATATAGAAGGTGAACTCAGAGGGTCAATTTCTTATCTTAAAACTCCTTTCAAAAACTTTGCTCTGTAAGACAAACCCATGGAAGTAGCTAATAATTATTAAACTTGTTCTTAATTTAGTATTATTTAATTAGTCATAAAATACTCTGTGCACCACTCATACATTAAAAGCAGTGTTTCTCAAACTTTCAATACTGGCGACCCAATTTTCAATCATAATTTTTGTCTCGCCTCCCTGTACAACAATAATGTATTTACTGCAATAAAAATGCACTTTGAGAGAGAGACGCTAAAGTTACAATACGATCTTAATTATAAACCGTATAAATTAATACGATAAGTATATTAAATTTTGTGTATATTTTAAGTAATATATATATTTTAAGAAAATTACTTAATATATATATATATATATATATATATATATATATATATATATATATATATATATATATATATATATATATATATATATATATATATATATATATATATATATATATATTACTTAGAATTATGTTATTTTTCTTTCTCTAATTTTTAAATTGGAACAGATCGCAAAATGATGTTTTTAATTAAAGATTTATTTCCTTCAGCATATTCATTCCTCAAAGTACAAATGTCATTAGAAAAATAGTCTAGTCAATGTCGCTCTCTATCCTATCCATCACATCTGGCATTATAGGGTACGTTTGCGTGATTCTGGGCAACCTATCGGACGTCTGCGCAAAACATGTAAAAATGCTTTTCCTCGTACAATTCCAGTCAGTTTTGGTCGACTCGATACTCCTATAGCTACCGAATCTAGCTTGAATGTACATTGTTTTTTAATTTCCACGTTAATTGTAATTCACGGTAATTATGTATTTACGGCAGTAGATTAAAACAATATCATACATACATTTTTAAGTCGTAAGTAAACATTCGACCATAATAAAGAATCAACAAGTACACAGACGAACGAGCATGGTTCCGAAAATTAAATCAAGGCAATCTTCTCAAAAATACTTAAATTTTGGATTTACCACTACTGAAGTAAATGATGGAAAAAAAGCCCCGCTCGATATGTGTTAAAACTTACAAATCTGTAGAACAACATGTGAAAGTTGTTTTTAAAACAAGTAAAATCATTTAGCTATGTTGGCAAAGAATTTTAAAAAGTATTTTCTGGATGAGGACAGCTTGGTAGCAAGTTACGAGTGGATTAGGGATCTATTTCAAGATACTCCAGAAGGGCTCTCAACTTCCGAAGAAGAAATCTTCATAGATTTCACATCCAGTGAAAAATTAAAAGGCAATTTTGTAATAAATCGCTCTTTGAATTTGGGGTAGAGGTGGATGAGGAATTATCTGTACTGAAAACAAAAGCACTTCGTATACTATTACCATTTTCAACATCCTACCTTTTTCAAACCGGATTTTCTGCAGTGGATGCCTTGAAGACAAAATATAGATCTCAGCTAAATATAGAAAAATAACTCTAAGTGTCAATTTCTGATATTAAAACCTTCCTTTGAAAAACTTTCCTCTACAAGAAAAGCCCGTGGAAGTCCCTAATAATTATTAAACTTGTTCTTAATTTAGTAATAAGATTGATTGATTGAATATTAACGTCGCACTGTTCAGCTGCACGAGGGCATTTGACGACGGACCACGTAATTTTGAACCATGGTCAAGTGACGTGGATGACACCTGAGCTGGCACCCTTCTCTCCTAACTACCACACCACACCAACGGGAAAACGTTTCAACTCTCAACAGATTTAACATGCATCGCTGCC